TACTACTGCTACTACTACCACTACCTCACACTCATAGAAGCCCGAAAGACCCTAAGCCCTGCAGATCCCAAAAAACAAATCTCTGGGGGCCGGGCCCTCAAACTCTCCGCCTCACCGAGGCTCAGCAGCGCGTAGAAGCGCCCCGGCTGAACCTGGCACCGGTTTAGGGTTTAGGATTTAGGGTTTAGGGTTTAGGGTTTAGGGCTATAGAAAATACTAGACTACATGGGGATGCACCGGCATATAACTATATGGAGCTGGTAGCATCCATGTCTTCGGATCAGCAGAGAAAAGGAAAGCACACTCGCACAGACTTCGCGAACGTCCGCACCCAGACTTGCATGGCCCAGCATCCCCCGAACAACATGACCGGGAGCTTCTCAGGCTTCCCTGCAAAGTGCTAAAGCCGAAGCTCTACAGCTTCCTCGATGTAGATGTTACTAAGACAACAGTCGCAAACCCTTCAAACACCATTGAAGTTCTTTTCAAAGAGCCAGCAGCTCCTACCAAGCATCATCAATCCCTCGTACAACTCATGGTAAAGCACCGAGCACTTGAAATCGTGGGCTACAGCTACAAAGACCTCAACCCTAAACCCTAAACCCCGGAAGAGAGCCCTAAACCCCAAACTCGAACCGTGGAAGAGAGGTCAGGGGGCCTCGATCGCGTGACAGCGCTTCAGCGCTCTCGCCTCAGGGCTCCAGCGACTTTCAAGGCCTACCTGGACACCAAGAAACCCTGCATTAGGAGAGCTCGTTTGCAATATGATGTCCTTGTACAGTCCTGAAGACGATAGGTTGTTTGCTTAGGGGGGGGGGTTTAAGGCAGGGCTTGGGATGTGAGGAGTCTCCAATAAAAGAGGATCTTGGGGACTAGGGGGGGTTTCATTTAATGAAGCGTCGTGTTCCAGAGTAGTTTACAGGCTTGCGCATGATACCTCTTCCTCTCTCGGCAAAGCTGTCTGGCAGGCTTGGAGTGCACTGCCGCTATCCCAGCCTATTCCAGAGAGACAGAGCCTGAACCCGATGTTAAATCAGCACTGAACAGGCTTCAACTTTGACAGAGGATGAGTTCCTCTGTTGCCCAAAAGCGCCCAGTCGCCACGGTCCGGGCAGAAAGTGCTTTCCGCCTGGGTGATCTGTCTGGAACTCACTTGGGGTATCAGGTCGGATCTGTCGTTGCAAGGTGCAGGCTCAGTTGTTGAAAGCTTGGAATGATTCATGAGGCTTGAAGTTTGAAGATCTTATAGGGTGACGGGATTGGACTTCGGCGCAAATTTCTGAGAGTTATTCCGGACCCAAACATATGGCACGCGGAATCAAAAATGAGAGTTTCGGAGCCCACCACGGAGCCATGCTTTGGGACGGGGCTTTCTTCAAGTCTTGCAAGGTATTGTTTCAGGAAGGCTTGGGATGGGGTATGTGCGGAAATCCACATCATGGCTTGTAAAGCATCTGTTTTAGTACTCAGGATGTCGATGTGATGCCGGGACTTGAGTTAAGAACGACCTCAACGTCCCATTTCGCAAGCTTTGATCGGTGCTCAACTTCCAATCGACATTGTCGTGGAGCTTAGGGCAGAACTGCAAGTTACAAGCAAAACCTCACAGTTTCGACCTGTGCTCAGTTCGATTGAGCATCTTGTCGTGCCACCCAAGCAAAACTGGGAACCCTGCAACATCCGCACCGTGGAGTTGTGCGGCGTAGTGGGCGGCGTCTCGCCGACATCCTAAGGTGGCAATGCTGTGGCTAGGGGATTAGAGACCATGGATGGCTGAATGCTTGAAGAACTCATATGTAGACGTGCGCTAGTTGCCAACCTCATCTTAGGTATTTCGTCCTGGCGCCTTGAGGCAAGGCCTAATATCGGGGATAGGAAGCAGTCTTATCTCGGTTTCGGGGGTAACTTGAGTGGGAGATGTTCTTTCTTCTAGGGTTCAGCAATTACCTGTGGTCTTTTGCTTGCAATGTCTCAGAGTGCAAGGGATATAAACAAATTGCATGGTTTCGAGGGTCGCGGGGTGGAAGGCCAGGGTGTGGCTCATACCGTAAATCCAATCGGTTCTAAGTACCTACAATGGTAGAAAGTAGGGTTTCCATAGTAGGAGTTGCTGTTGTGATTCGGGCAAGTATCTCCCACATAAGTACTTGGGACCCCTTTGGGCAAGCCGGCTAGCGAATCCAACAGATAGGCCAAGCGTCGTCCACATCGAACTGGCAGGCATCGTCAGCAGCTTGCTCCTCGTGTTTGGGGCTTTTTGTACGAGTATATCCCTAGAATAAATCAACAATTTAAGCAAGAATCCCAGAGCCAACTCACAAAAGGCACTAAATTTGGGTTTAGGGTTTAAGGACGCTAATCTAAACCCTACCAAATGTGATGTGGAGGATGCCGGATGTAGGGAAATCCTAAACCCTCCCTCTTAAACCCTGCACTAACAACCTATCAACCGTGAATTACTACACCCTACCGTGCCTGCGGACTATCCCCGAAACTCCTTCCCAAAACCCCTAAACCCTAAACAGTAAACCCTTANNAACCCTAAACCCCAAAACCCTCCAAAGCCCTAAACCCCAAGCCGCCCGGGGCTGCCATGATCTGCTTGGGCCCTGGCCACCACGGCTTCCAGGAACTTCTGGACCTCCTCTGGCCTGGGGTTAGGCTTTTCAGGAGCTTCACAGAAACTTGAGTTTAGAGCTTATAGAGTTTAGAGTCTGTGTCTAGGGTGTAGGGGTTTGGTGCGGTGTAGGGTTTGGGCTTTTTTCGGCTTTAGGACTTTAGGTGGAGTTTTGGGGCTTCCACCACTAAGAAAGGTTCAGCTAGAAGTCTGCTCGTCTCAGCCCGAGCCGAGAACTCCAAACCGCCAAAGGCCCAACACAATCCCGCTCTGAGCGCCGTGGCCCCGATGACAGCACACCGATGGAGCTCAGAAGTGCCTGAACGCTCTCATCCACTATCTACGTCGATCATCTCTGCATATGGGGGCTTGAAGCCCTAAACGCTGAACTCTACATAGGGAGGCTTGGAGCCTGAGGCTAGGGTGCAGGGTTCAGAGGCTGGGGCTGGGCTGGGGGTTCTACATGCATGATGCTTCGATTTTCGAAACCAGGTCTTTGAGGGCTTGCGGGCTTAGAGTCCAGAGCTAGCGCCATCTTTTGTTGAGGGCCGGTTCTCATTCCGCTGAAAGCTCATGTTGCATTTAAAGTTTCGGCTGCAGGGCTCTGGCCAGCAGTCTTGTTTGGCAGGACTGGCGGCATTGGGCGTAAAGCTTAGCCCAAAAAGTCCTAAGTACTTTTTTTTCGGGTGGGGGGGGGGGGGGGNNGGTGATATTTACCGAAACCGTATCAGTAACTTCTACTACAGAACCCGAATTACTACGATGAAAGAGCTTAGGACCCTTTGGGTAGGGGTTTCCCAGTGCTCTAATTTCTGAAGCTTCGAGGGCAAATCCCTTGGCAGCCAGAAAAGGGTCCGTGCATAGATCTGTCTCTGTATCTGTGTCGTCTAAAGTCTAAAACTAACTAACGATACCTATCTATATAATTACCTATACGCATATCTTCCTGTCTATATGTCTATATGAGTACGTGCCTGAAGCTATTTTTTCAACACACAAGCAGAACAATGCCAACACCACAGTCGTACTATGTCCGCTTGCGGTAAGAACCACGACATATGCACGGAACACTAACAAGCAGCAATGGTGTTCACAGCACTGAGAATGACAGCCATTATCATGATCAAAATAATATTTGTTATGTTTTTGTTTGCTGAGGAACCCTCTATGCGGCCTTCGCTTCCCGCACTGAGATGCTCGCCTGTCTTGCACGAGGGCGTCCAGTTCAGGATTTGGGGCACTAAGGGGTTCTTTGGGTTCAGGGCTTGGGAATACAAGGTTTAGGATAGCGTCCCAGGTTTCAAGCTTGAGCTTTTGGTGTGTGGGTTTCTGGGGCTTTAGGTGAAGGGCTTTGGGGGATTTCGGGCCTCGTGCTTTCGAAATTGAGGTCGCCGGTCCAAGCAGGTCAGGTATGAACAGTCTACACATGTAAGAAACGAGCCGTACCACGGAAACCCTAAGTTGCAGGTGGTTGAAGCTCCTCATCGACTCCAAACTTTCAATTATCCGTGCGCTATCCCAGTGTTCTGAACCCCTATAGCCGACTGGAGACTCTTCCGGGGAGTTTTGCCTTGTAAGACTCATGGGAACTGCACAGGGTGAGCACTACAGGGGCCTGAAGAGACACCATCCGGTTCGGGGGTAAATCAGAGTATAACACGTCAGAAGTAAGCAGTATCTTACACGAGCACAGCGAATGCTACCCCTAGACACCAAATCCCCCAGCTTCTCAGAGCAAACCACCTGGAGACCTCGCAGCTGCATGAACTCGAAAAAAAAACATCGAACCGCCCTCAAAATTCAATATTCCTAGGCCCTGGTCCCACCCGAAACCCTCAACCCTCAACCCTAAACCCGAAACTCCTAAACCCTATAAACCCTCCATCCTGGAGGCCTGGGGCTCCCAAGCCCTAACCGCCCCCAAAAAGAACTCTGAGCCCTGCCATGGGCCTTGCCAGCCAGGCCCTGAAGCGCCAGCGCCTGCAGAAAACCGAGGGCATCGGATTTTTGGGTCTCTGGGGGTTGGGGATTCATATAGGGACCGTCATAAACAGAATAGGGTTTGGGGGGGTCGGCTGGGATGCATTAGAAATGATGGCATCTATAGGCTGCTTCTCGGTCCGGGGTCTAGGCCGAAGGGTTTAGCCAAACCCCCGAAGCCTGTAAACCCCAACCCCATCGGATAAACAGCTACGGGATCCCCAATGAGGTTCCCGAAGGTTGCCTAGTACCCTCCTCCCTTAGAACCCTCCCCCTTAAGGATCCCATGAAAGAACACCCTAAACCCTAAACCCCAAACCCTAAACCCTACACCCCAGACCCTGACACGGAACCCAAAAAACCCTAAACCCTAAACCCTAAACCGAACCCTGTCCAAGCCCAGCGCCAACTGCAGGCGCGAGGGGGGAGCCCCGTTGGAGGGCGAGCTGCCCCCACCTTGCTGAGGAACTCTGACACTAGGGTTTAGGGTTTAGGGTTTCGGGTCGTTTTAAGGGCTCCTTTATGACCTACCCGGGTTCTATACTGGGGCTTGCAGTAGGGGTTAGGGCTCAGGGATTTGGGGCATGGGATTTGGGATTTCGGGTTTAGCCGAAAGCTCCGGGTCCTAAACCCCAGCCAGACGCTCCGGCGCTCTGAAAACCAAAGGCACTCCAGAACCCTAGGCTTAAAGCTTGAGGTTTAGGGTTTTGGGTTTAGGAGCTTAGCTGTGGGTCCAACCTTACACTACGATAGCCTAGTCATTGGTAGGTTCGTATCCAAAATCCCAATCTAGATTTTGGGTAATTGAATGAATAGCCTACTGCTCCAAATCTTCTACAGGGGCCCCGTAGTTAGACAAAGGGGTGTGGTATATGTTTGCAATACAGTTCTATCTAGGACCCCCGAGGAACATTTACTGTTTCGAAGAAGGTCAGACCCCGATGTTACCCTATGAGTATGGGCTCCTAACCTACTATCTTCTAGTTTGGTGCTACAGGCAAGGTTTGCTCAAGTTCAGTACCTTCCTTCGGAGGTGTCACACCAGGTATATGCGCTTCCTGCAAGCCTTGTCGTATCTTCCCCAGGAACAGTCTGCTGCTTCCTGTGTAGGCTGAACCCCACAGCCCTCGCCCAAACGCTGAACAAACTGCAAGCCCCAAATATCAGATGCACATTTAGAAGCGATACCCCAAAGCTCGAAGTCATAATTACATGACTCCTACGCTCAACAAGGCTAAACATGTCAAGTTCTATATATGGAACTGCCACATGTGGCCGTCTCCGCTGGGTCCAGTACTCTGCTCCTGCGCCAGGACACCCAAACCTCGACAAGTTTGTTTGGGGCTTTGAGCTCGGGATGTGCCTTAGTCTTTCTGAGTCTCGGGTGTTCGGCATCCACTTTTTCGCCAATGTGGGGATTCAGTTTTCCGGATCCAGTCTGAGGTGTTCAGGCAAGGTTGCGCTGTTCCTTACAAAGCCTTATGCTTTCAGCTTGGTGTCCAGTTTGTTGTGTGTTGCAGGGTTTGAGGTTTTTACTACAGCTTAAGGAAGAGGTTTTGGACTCCAGGGTGCAATAATTCAGAAAACACGCGTCACTGCTTGGAGCCCTCTCTGCAGCGAAGCTTTGAAGCACGGCTTGCCGAAGGAAAAGCTGCGATGCCAACTAGCTGCACTTAAACCCCGTATTTCAAAACACACACTGTTGCGACTGAGAGGTCTCAATTCTTACTTTATGACTACATTGATTGTAAATATGTTTACTCTCTTCCCTCAGCCCGACACCTGACACATGGAGTGCTGTCCGTGCGTTCTGCTGCCAGGAGACCCATGTCGTCCACGTCCGATGGTGGCACGGACCTCACCGGTGAGGACTTCGGCCGCAAGGCTTGACAGTGTAGTGGAGGAAGGGCCTTAATAATTAGAGTGTGATGCTGGGGTATAGCATAGCATAGTCAAATTCTAGATTATAGGCCTATTCGGCTGGCGACGATAAGGATACCACGGGATGATTGTTACAGAGTAGCTCTGGAGCTTTAACAGTAGCAACACATCTTTTTCCTGCTCGTCCCTTAATTAAAGCCCTAAACCCCTCGGAAGATTCTTCGGCTTCAATGATTGCGATCTCCAGCCCTCGCCAAGGTGGAGTGTAGGCTTGGGCATTTGAGGGTTCATGATCTAGGAAGGGGATGAGTCATTCAGAGAACCTGATAATTGGATTCTGGAATCTCGTGTCAGAAGTCACGACAGAACGAGAGACGACGGGATAACCTCCTCGTATCCGACGTCTTTGCCACAAATGGACCCTCACCCCGGAATTGGCCCGGAATACGCGGAGACTGCAAACTTGACAACGGTAAGCAGGACGGCAATATTGCGTGAATCACAACGCAGATTCCGAAACAAGCAATATGGTCCTCAACGCAGGGCCTATGGGGTCCCTGCAATGAACCTGAACCTCAAAAGCCCAAGTAAGCTCAATCTCTCTATTCTCAGCAATGTAGAGACCTAGATAACCAATTACCAATACTTTTTTGGGGGGTTCCCTATTGTAATTATAGTATAGTGGGCCCCAAAACCCTATTCTAATTATTAAGGCCCCGATACTTAACGAGACTCAATCTTCTTCAACCCAGAGACCAAAGTCGTGCTGCAGCCACTGCAGCCTGAACCCTGACGCTATGTCACCGTCCATAGACGCATCTGGGTAGTTCTCCAAAATATGGTCCCTTCTTAGGTCCCCAATATAGTACGGCACCCTTATAAAAAAGGACCCTCAAAAGGGACCCTAAGTTTACAGACCTACCCCATCTGGGGCAGGCACGGAGCATTTGGAGTCTCCTGCTCTTGGGGCGGATGTTGGTTTCGGCTTGGAGTCTGGGTCCTTGCATCTTATCAGCCCTAAGGTTCCAGGTATACATACAACAAGCACCGTACGTTTTGGAGTGCGCACCTAGTAATTACCTACTTTGCCGGAGAAGTCTACAGAGATCTAGACTGCCCCACTTTCAGAATTCACTCGTGGGTGGCGCGCCGAGGTTCTGAGGCTTTCGGGTTCAGTGGTAGCAAGACTTGAGCAGACCGAGACTCGCCAAAAATTAGGGTCTAGGGTTTAGGGTTTTAGGGTTTTAGGGTTTCGGGTTTCGGGTTTAGGGTTTAGGGTCGAAGTGTTCAGATTCCCTCGTGCAGCAAAGCTCAGTGCAACTGCACGAACTGCTTTTGAGCGGAACAAAGGGGGCAGGAATTGTTCGGCCTCATACCGGGGCTTGGAGTTGAGGGCTTAGTGAGGTTCGAGTCAGAGTAGTGTTTACCTCTTCTACGAAACTCGCCAACGTCATGTTGAAATGCGATACACGGACAGCAGCATAAGAATAACAATGCCATACTTCGGAGAACACACACGCACGCACACACACACACACACACACACACCAGGTTGTCAACTCACAAAGTCCACGAAAGCGTTTGTTTGATGGCCGCGAGGCTGTTATGATTGATTACTGAGACCGCCCAAACAAAGACAATACCCCAAACCCCCCTCGCATGCCTCTGGGCACCACTCCAACACCACCATCGGCCAGCGCAAGCGGCGAGGCCCAACAGCGAACCGGTGGAAGTTCGACGACGCAAAGAGCCTCGAAACACACATGTGACGCTTCAGACGCTCATCATAAGGCCAACACATTCCTACGGAACTCTTGAACACTCATCAACAGGCTAACACAAATCATGATTCAGGATTATTGCGATTCCGGGTCGGGACCCTGTGCTTCGGCCGGGCTGAGAGGGTTTTCGTATTTGCAGTTTGAGTGTTCATGTAGGGTTTTTTTGGTTTAGGGTTATGGTTGGTCAGGGCTTTGGGCTTTAAGGCTTTCCTTTGAGGGTCTCCTCTGGGTCTATGGGACACAGGGCTCGGGAGGGAGTTTGTGGCAACAGCAACCCCGAAACCCTGAATCCGCAGCCGTTGCTTCCATGTCACGTGTTTCTGAGAGAGCTAACTACCCTCCGTGCCCTGCAACGTCCGAAGATTCCAACAAAGTCAGTCGACCAGCATAGACTTACACGCGCGAACTGACCAGCACGCTCCAACGACATCGCCAAACTGGGCGCAGGGCTCTGGTGGGAAGTTGGCCTCAGGCTCGGAATGGATTCCCAGGTAGGCAGCCACAGGTACTATTTGGCTATCTTGCACAGTGTGGTTTAGGATACTGATGCCTTTGCAGAGAGTGTGTTCCGACATACATCTAGGGTTGGGCTTAGAGTGGCTTAGAGTTAGCAGTTTCAGTGGAACGGCCTTTGAAGGCAGAAGAAAAGGCCGGAAGTGTCTACAGGCGTTGGCAGCTCAAGGATTTGAGTGACTTCAGGATACATCAAACCCCAAGCGAAAGCCAAAATCCTAACTTAATCAGTTGAGGCGCCGTGGTCTCGCCGCCACGTGCACCAGTCAGAGCCATGTCCTGCATGGTTGTCAAGCGATGTATGGGGTAGCTTTGATTCTGTTCATCGGGTTCACGCCGTGGCGTTTAGGACTCGACGAGGACTTGAGGTTTGCACGCTGAGGAATAGGGTTAAGCGGTCTTGGGTTTAGAGCCTTGGGTCTTCCGGGCTGCGCTTTAAAGTTTATATAAGGCCATGAGTAACGAAGGTCTAAATTCAGCTTGTTTCACACACCCCCTAAAACCCTATAAGCCCTAAAGCCAAGCCCCCATATCTGAACTTGCTTCCCACACCCCCTAAACCCTAGAAGCCCCAAAACCAAGCCCCCATAATAGTACCCTAAATAGTAGGATCCTTATTATAAGGACCCCAAAATATGGTGCCCTAATTTTCTGAAACTCCCATATCTGAATGCTCAAGGCCGAGGAGACGACCCTCAAATGTCGGAAGCGGCCGGCGGTTGGCGCATCGCGCAGCAGCGCCAGAGGCCAAGAGGAGGGCGCCTCAAAGGAGACAAAGGATGCTAATCCTCCAGTAACCTACTATATAGGGCCTTAGGGTCTCTAGTGCCCTATATAGTAGGTACCTGGAGGGTTAGGGAATGCTAATCCACATAGTGACCTTGGGGGTCCATATATACTACCATTATGGAATTAGGGCCCCAAAACCATAATAGGGATGGTCTTTTGTGCCTAATTCCATCATGGTAGTGCATATGGACCCTCTGGGTATCTATCTTTCAGATCCATCTTGGTATTACTTACAAGCTCATGGCCATCATCATGAGAATAGTGAGCTTCATGTGTGTTTGTGTGTATATATATACATATACATCGATATAACAGTAATAGCGAAGATCCATTTTTTTAAGGCTTTTGCGGCAGTTGCTCCTAGACGAAGAATTTTTTCAGGGCTTCGGGTTCATGATTATGAGGTTTCAGGCAGTCTTCTTGAAAGGCTCCGACAGACAGAGGTATCAACATGTTCTGTAGAGCCGTTTTCATGCTACCGGTCGAAACCCTGCAACTCTGGGGGCGAAAATTCAGCTTGAGTATCAGCGAACCCAAACCCATCTATGTCAACCCTAGCCCACGAAATTCTCATGACCCCCGAACCCGACACCTCTATGTTAAATCCCAAACCCGAAACAGTAAATGGCCTCGTCGCGGCGGATATTCTGCCACGAACCTTCGCATCAAACTGCCGAGCTGTGCTACTTGGTATTCAGGGTCTCGAGGTTAGTCTGTAGGTATGTAGGATTTAAGGTTTGGGTTGCCGGGATTGCAGGTTGGAGTCACGGATTCCTAGAGTTCGGATTGGGTTTTACCTGGCTCTCAACTCGAGCATTAAACTGCTTAGTCACATCTCTGTCCAGCATTGCCGTGCAAACCCGAACCTGGAACCTCCCCGGCGACCCGAAAAGTAAGAGGAACACTCATCATATCGACCCTTTTGAAACGGCACTGTCTCCTGCTATTAAACTTGGGGACAGGTTCGAACACTGTGGAATGACCACACGAGCCTGCATCTCCGTCACATGGAGTGTCGGAGGTTTGGCATTGCGGGACACGAACTCCAACCAAAAAAAAAGAAGAACTTTCGAGCATAGAGTTTAAGGGTTTTGGGCTAGGATTGATTCTAACATCGACTCATGTTGACCACTGCATAGATGTCTATGAAACTATATGAACCTAGATCTGCGAGCCTTTGATGTAGGAGTAAACAGTCTTTATTTGGGCTTGTCTAGAGGGCAGGATGCTCCTTCATAGTGTAAAGCTAATCTAACATAACTCTAGTATGATATAGTTTTATAACATACTGTAATATGATATGTAAACCCAAGGCTTGAACCCTAAGCTCCCATCGAAGGGGAGCACCCGCGAACTATAGGCCCTCAACCCCTCACAGGCAAATGCATCTTGCATCTAAGCCCGCGGCTGGCGGCAGGCCTCGGAAGAAGCAGTGGCTTGGGATTTTCAAGTGTGTTCCAGAATAAGCCAAGCAGCTCAAGCCCTAAACCCTAGGCCCTATAGACTGTGTTCTCTGCCCAGGATCAGCCCTCCACTTCAGGTCTTCAACCCCGAAGTGTAGAGAGGCTGTCGCCAACACCAAGAGCCTCCTAAGACGCAGGCCTTGACGCTCTAAGCTGCCCAGGCTCATAGCAGCAAGGAGTTTAGGGGCTTGGGGTGTAGAGTTTAAGGTGTATCTTGCGAAAGGATGCTGCCGAATGTGATGCGCAGATTGTGCAGAGTACAGATGTTGCTTCCAAAGCGAGCAAAATTGCTTGCTTCCACATAGGCCTTCCAAATTTGCGAAGCCCAAAACCCTGAGCCCACATTCTGAACTTCTCAGCCACCGACCCAAGCTTATGAATATTCCTCCCAAGCAAGAACCCTAAAACCCTAAACCCTAGCATAGAGGGTCCAAGCAAGATCAGGCCCTGACGCTGCCGACTCGTCCTCTTCCTCCTCCTCTTCCTCTTCTTGCTCCTCCTCTTGCTCCTGTCGATGCAAAGCTTGGAATCTTGGCAATTCTCTAGAGAAACCCTGAACCATGCAGCTTAATGGCTAAGCATATTGAAACGCTAAACCCTACAAACTCATGAGGGTATCCTACTACTAGTTATATCGTTATACCCACCTCTATAACTGTATTGCTGAAGCCAGACTTCAGGGTAGTTTGAGGACCTACTACTACCACTACACTACTACTACTACTACTACTACTATTACTACTACTACTACGACGACGACGACTACTACTACTACTACGACGACGACGACTACTACTACTACTACTCAAAGCCCCGAGAGGCCCAACAGGATGCTAATCAAAAGGCTCAACAACAGGCTCATTCCACAACTCCTGCATTCCACGCGCCGAAAAGTTCACTTGCGCTCATGCTTGGGTAGGGTCTGAGTTTCACCCTTCAGACAGAAAGCACAGCTCTAAAAACGCTTTCGCCGTCTCTCCTTCTCCTCCTCCTGTTCCGCGAAGAGTTCCTGGAGCAATGCCGTGGCAACTGGTTTAGGGGTTTATAGTCTAAAGTAGGGGTTTGGCTTTGGATTCAGGGTTTATGGATGGATCCTTTGTGTGCTTGGAGGTATAATTGCTGAAATAAGGGGCTTCAATTTTCTGGATACCGCAACGCGCCGATGCCTTGGGAGTCAGGGCTAAATGGGCTTTAGGGTGTGGGGTAGCTTGAGGTGTAGGGTTCTGAGTCTTTGTGTTGGCCTCTTCTTCGGGGATGCTCATACATGCCCGAGTTCAAACGAAAAGGCTACTGTATTATGGTAGTCTTGAAACTTGAAGGATCCCATCGCTAACATGTCAAGGCCCTACCACCAGAAGTGGTTTTTGGCAGTGAACCTTGCACCGGGACACCAGAATCATCGCAAGATCGGGACCACATCTTCGCACTAGCCGGCGGCCGTCCTTCTTCATCCTTCTTCAACCCTAAGCCCAAAGCCCTAAACCATTTATAAGCCATGTTCAGGGTTCCCGGGTCGTGAGGTTTTAAGGTTCAGGTTGCAGGTACAAGGTCTACGGCTTGGGGACCAACTCATGCCCGCTAAAATCTGAATCTGCAACCGCACAATCCGAAGTTGTACTTCTGCAGCCCAGACAGGAAACAACAAGCCTTGGCTTGCGTTGCTCTCTGGCTTAAGTCTCTGATATGTGACAAGGATGATGGCGCTTCTACGGAACTTCAATACAAAGATGTCACTTCACTTCAGAAAGCACCGGATCCAAAACCCTTCCCAGGCTAATTGGTTTTCGAAGACTCCACGCCGGCACCCCGAGCTGCGCGCCCCATAACCCCCGATTCAGGCCCAGTATGCTTAACCGCGTCTCTGGGATAGGGCTTTAGGGTTCGGGCTTAAATTGCAGTCTCGACATTCCTGCCTGCTCGTGCTCCTGCTCCATCTCTGCAAACAGGGACTGCTCCTGGTCGGCTGTGACCGATTGTTCCCGGTGTCTGGCTGTCGGGCTTGGGTCAGAAAAAGTGACGTCTGCTACATCCCCGAGCCCTAAACATGATAGACAACCTAAACTCGAAACACAAAAAATGGTTTGCCATACATCCGTCCAACCTTTGGATGATCAGCACACTCACTACGTAAGACTGTCCTTGAAACGGTGGATCCCCGGGCACTGCCTAATGCAACCAACGCGGACGGGGGGATCTCAACATGAAGCACTTCTGTTGATGCAAAAACCTGGAAAACCTGATGCTATGACATGGTGAATTGCATAATGCAGTCTTCCTCGTGGGAGCCTATAGTAAAAATCCCCAAGGCCTCCTACCGTACCATGTTCAAGACTTAACGTCGATTATTTGTATAGGGCCAGCTTAAGAAAACCCGAAACACAGAGACGGTAAACCAAAAGCTGGACCGGCCTCCTGAGCAAGCTGGGCCATGGATGCGCCGGAATCGCCCGTGCGGACGAGCCCAGCCACGGCCTCTTCAAGTGCGAGGCTTGACGTGGCCTGCAGACTTTAAAACCTGAGACTTGGATACGCCCCCCCCCCCCCTATACAGTAACCGTCTACAAGAGGCTACCATTAAAAGCCCTACATGTTTATGTTATGACTGCAATTAATTGTTACCGAGTGGGGCAGTGTCCAACCTAAAATTAAACCCCAGAACTAGAAACCCAAAGTCCTGCAGCACTAAACCATCAAGACTTAAAGTGTAAGCAAGAAAGTACTCTGATGGACACACCGATGAGAGGGATCAAACATAGGGCAGTCCAGGGCTGATTTCGGAGTGTGTTCGCGTGGGCTTGGAGGTTTATGTGCCATGTGCCAAATTGGGGGCTTGGCGTACCCCGATTATACACCCATACACGGCGTACCATCTAGGCTCAAACTACAAACTTCAAACCTGAAACGCCAAAACCCCAAAACCCTAAACCCCCAAACCCCCAACTCTGGAAGCCCTCTCTGCCAGCCTTGGTGCCTTCCTCATCCAGCCACGGAGTCAAGTCCTGCGGTCTCGAAGTGTTAGCCCAGGAACTCTAAGCCCCAAGCCCCAAACTCTAAAAAGCCCTGAACGATATAAACCCAAAAAGCCCTGCATCCTACAAAAAAGGCCTAAACCCTACACCCTTTCACCTTCTTAACTACCAAGAGCGCCACTGACCATTTGCACGGCTCGAGCTTCTGATCGAGGCCCGTGCCGAGCCTCTCGACGGAACGGTGAGGGAGGGTCAGCTTCCCGGCTTACGAAGACTGTAGTGAAATCGCCCCGCTGATGATTTTTCTGCCGTTGGGCCGTACAGAAGGATCCAAAAAACCCTGCATGGTTGGGAACCAAAGTGCTCTTGTGGGTCTGGCCTGGGGGGGTCTGGGGGGAGGTCTGGTGGCGGAGCATTGCCATATTTTGTTTGTAGGGGCCGGGAAGGCTCCAGACACCTCCTCGGCCGGTGGTAGGGGGCGACCGCCCAATCTGGACAAACGACCAACAAGATTTGAGTTGTCGGCCCTCACATCCCAGCCTTTTTCTCGGCGGGGCTTTGTCTGCAAGGATAGGTGTGCACTTTGAGCGACCCTCACAGGGTGCGAGGGGCAAGCTGTTCGTTGGAACCCCTGGCTTCCCGTGAAGAGGCCGGCACAGGCCGCGCGGACCCACAACCCGACACCAATCCAACCCTAAATCCTACTTGAGAATAGTTGGGGTGGTTGGGGCGGGACTACATAACTAAAGGCGTACCTTTGGGATTATAACGGCGATCATAATGCCCCTATACACGGTTTAAGCTTACCTGCCCGACTACTAAGCTGACAAGCGCAAAACCCTAAACCCTAAAGCCTAAACCCCTAGGTCCTAAACTTAAGCCCTAAACATCCCCTCAGTTTGTAGAGGGGTCTATTGGCAACCACTATATCAGACCTTTTCCGGGGTCTGTTATGGTTGGCTGCCCAGGGTTGCGCGACCCTTTCCAGACCCTAGCCCTACACAGACCTTGCATCGGATGTTGACGAGTTTAGGAGGGATCATGGAAAGCCACATACCTATGTCAAACATTCTCACATTCCGACGTCGGTGGGGGGCAATACGGACTGCCGGTGTGAGTCCCGGGCGTTTGTTTGCACATGAATAAGCTACTTGCAACACTTCTGACGAAGCCAACACGATAGTGTATGAGTGATTAAGCGACAAGAATTGGTGTGCTCAGAAACCCGGGAAGGCTTTCGACCCGAAGGTGAAACTTACAAACTTGACCCTCGCCTCTAAAGCCTGAACCCTAAACTCGATGTGTTCTGCTGCTGCTCCAAGTCGGAGGATACTGATGAACAAGGCAGTCTCTACCTTTTAACAAAAGGTGCCTTCTCAGCCTCCTGCGACGAGACAGTGCAACATGCGCAACATGTGACAACATGCTGCCACACGACGAAGGTCTAGATTGGTCTCCCAACCAGGGTCTGAATTGGTACCGTCGACCATTCCAGACCTTCCCATCTTCGGCTGCCAGAAGCCCCCCCATCCAGACCCTCGCAAACTGAAAGGATCCCTAAACCCTAAACCCCTAAACGCGAAACCCCTAAACCCTAAACCATAACCTGCAACTCCGGACCTTGACCCGACGTCACGCATGCGCACGGATGAATCACTGGACTTCAGAAGCCACTTCACAAGTGCCTAAACACTACCTGGACCCTACGAAACCCATATTTTCAGGGTCCTTTTTTGATTTCCTTATACAAATCCTGAAAAAGGGGGTAGGTTATTTGGTTTAGTTCAGGTAAACCCTATAAGCATGCAAATCCTACGAAATATCACCAAGTCCCACGGTCCTTCTCAAGTAGGTCAGGTCATAAGATGTCACCTATAGTCTCCATTGTAGTTCCTTTTTCTGGTTTAACCAACAATATATCAAGGATTTTATAAGGTATCCCTAAAAAAGAACTACAATGGAGACTATAGGCAGGTTTCCGGGCTTCAGAGCTCAGGGCACAAATTTCGTGGCACGCAGGACGTTGAAGGCTCTGTCCTGTTGTTCTCACGGTTCTTAGTTCTCAGTATACTGATAACTGGATAACAGTTTCTACTACTCCTGGTCTTATATACATGTTATACTGCCTCCATGCCTGAAAAAAACGGTGCTACACGCCCACCTTGGCCAGCCGCTCCAGCGTTCTTCGTACATCCGAGGCCTCGTGTCCCGGAGGCGCCGCCTTGTGAGCTTAGGCTGGAGAGCATGGTTCCCGAACTGGGTTTAGGAGTTCTTTGTTGTCGGTCTGGGTTAAAGTTCGAGATTTCAAGAAGAGTCTAGAGTCAAGAGCAAGGCAGGAAGATTTCAGGAACTTGAAGCCAAAGCCCCGGCAGAGCAGCTGAGAGCTTCAATGATCATAGCAGGGCGGCCGAGTATGATGACTTCCCAACTCAAAGAGAATCAAGCTTGGGATGTCTTAAACATGGGAAGACGATGAACTGCGGCATTGTCCAAAACTGAGTCCATTTCCTGACGATACTGTCCACATGCTCCAGCTTCGCTAGCTTTGTATACCCAATCGTATAAGGCCTCTGACATGGCTACAAAATTTTGGCTTGGGGGATCTCGAATTGAGTGTGTCTTGTGTTCTATCTTGTATATGCTATAATTAGAGATCTTATCTTTTCTTGCACAGCATCCATTGCCCTTCTAAGCCTTCTTCTGCTCCTTGCAATGCCCTCCGCATCCCTCCGCCCTAAACCCTTGTACCACTCGACCCTACCCTGACAGTAACCCTCACAGTAACCCTTTAGACTTTTCCTGACAGGAAGCCTTAAGAAACCCTCCCTCTCCTCGCCTCTACCGTGTAGTCCACCCTCTCCCGGAAGAGGTCCAGCAGCCCGGGCTCCAGCTTATCGACCCCTGGCCGCCAGGAGAGGCATGGACCCTGCTAAGGTCCACGGTCTGAGGCCATTAAGCCTTCAAGCCCATACCTTGCACCCAGGCGAAAACCTTAGAATCCAAGGGTAAACTGCAAACCCCTAAATCCTAAACCTAACCCTAAACCCCAAACCCCTAAACCCCTAAATCCTAAACCCCTAAACCCTACTGTAAACCCCAAACCCGCAAACCCTAAACCCTCAACCCTAAACCCCTAAACCCTAAACCCCAAACCCCCAAACTAAACCCTGAAGACTAACCCAAGCATGAACTCCGGCCTGAACTCTGTGCCTTCGACATCGCATCGAAGGCGCAGCGCCTGGGCGTGCTGGGCCGCGCAGTGTCGGGGCCCTTTACCTTAAAGGCTAAGGGCTTAGGGGTTTAGGGCTTAGGGTTATATAAGGACTCGGCTTTCGGGCCCAAAGACCCTATTATAGAAGGCTTTTGGGCGATTTTGATGCTGAAGGTTTGCCTTAAAGGCCAAATGCACCCGAATATAGGGGCCTAGGTAATTTCAATGCAGATGCTTCTATCTCCAACCCCTCGAGACTCGAGACCACCAATCTTCAAGCCTAAACACCCCCACACACAAACCCTGATAGCCAGTCACACACCCCTCACCACTTAACCTCAAATCCACAAACCCCCATACACCTTCAGCACGGAGAGTGGCCAATCCTAAACCCTAAACCGACTTCCCGCCTCCCCTGGTACTGCACTCCTTGCCGCGCCAAGAGATGGCGCTGCGTCTGCTCCGCCAGGGACTGTCGGACCTCACCATAGGCTTCAACTTATGGGGTTTGGGGTTTCTACTTTTGAAAGACTGTTGCTGGTTGTTCTTTGAAAGATTGCTGAAGATACTAAGGTTTGCTGTCGCACTGAAGGCACACAGAAAAGGGCCATGCACTTTAGATTCGCCCTTAATCGAAGGACACAGAAGAGAATCATGTACCTTGAGTTCGCCCTCGACTGAAGGAGAACAACGGAGTGCCATGCATTTCGTGTCGGCACTTCTCCATTGACGGAAACAGAGGAGGGCTACGTACCAGAGATAACGGCATGTAACTTATGCTCACCATGAGCCGACGACTGGTTACGCACAAACTACGGTTCGTTGATTCAAAGAAGCGATACAATTTCTTTTTATTGCCGTCTTGAGGGTTTATGGCTTACGGGCTTAGGGTTCAGGGGTTTCTCGTGTGTCGAGTTTGTTAGTAGTCGAGTTTGTTAGTATGCGTGCATGTAAGAGCAAAGTCTGCACTAAGTGATTGTTCTAATCGTTATCGAGTCTAGGTCTAGGTCTCTGATTTTGACGTGGAAGATCCCTCAGCGTTGCTGTTTCGGTGAAGGATAGTTGCTTATGATGTCAAGAACCCTTACCGGGACGATCGTTTCGAAGAACCCTTGGGATCGGGGGCATTCTAGCCAAATATTTCAGGACTCTCATGGTTAACACATGTTACGGGCAGGACCCCGACATGTCTGGAACAGCTCTTGATCAAACACAACAATGCACCTGGCAAAGGGGGGCAAGAGACTGAATCAGAATTCCGAAGTCGATGCAGACGTGCTGCCACCAGCCAGGCACACACGCGATGAAGCATGGAGACCTGCTGGCGGCGTCATAGTTTTGACAGGGCCCTTGTTGTCCTTTCCTCGACTCTTCGTGGCACAGAAAAGCTTCGGCGAGGGGTTTGGGCAGATTGGGCTAGCCCTGGGATGTACCTATCTGCAAAGGAATCGAACGCACAGGGCTTGGGCAGAGAGAGTGGGGGGGTTTCTAGGGGTTAGCTATTGACTTGAGGTGTTCGGGGTCAGTGTGGGGACTCAGAATAATTGGTAAGAGTGTCCCCCATGAAGTCTGTATGTGACCACATCACCATATAAGCAGGGCATATTATAGTAAGCTTGCCCCTGTACTAGACTGGGGCTGAAACCACGAAACTCGTCATGTAGTTTGTGTGTATCCTGTCGAATCAAAGACATGGAGCAGTAGCTGAATGCCTGCCAAAGCCTGTGCCTCAGACCCTGCGACCTGCGATTGCGCATTGCTTTGTCTGTGCATCAAGCCCTACCTTAACCTACCAAGATCTAGTTTTTTGTGTAGCTTCCTGATAGAACCTATATTTGGGTTTATAACAAGAGCGGAAACAATTTGTCATGATAGATAGCAACATAAGGTAAACCCTAAACCCTCAATCTCAGAAGCCCTGCCGCAACGGCCACGACACGCCTCGCCAGAACTTGACTGCGACTCCCCGGTGCCTTGACGTGGCGGGGGTGCTAAAGTCGGGTTGGGAGCTGCAGAGTTTTATGGTTTCTACTTTTGAAGTGTAGGGTCATCGGGTAGGATTTCTGACCGGCCCATGTGCTAAAAGCCATGCAAGAATTATCATGTAGATTTTCATTGATGAACCAGCCTGCCTAAACAGTGGCTGTAAGACACTTCCTACATGTATTTTCCTTCAAGAAGATCGACAAGCAATCACGGCTGTACGTTGTTGCTGATGTCCGCCGTGTCGAATACAGCGGCCTTCGTCTTTGGAATACGGGTTTGGGCATGATATGTTATAACAATTCTAAGTACTGAGGAGCCCTGAGGAATCGAGCGACTATGTTAACAACTCAGTCTCCGAAAGTACACATACTCTTCTATGCACCTTCATGTGGGTAGTTCTCTACATTAGGGTGCCTCTTTAGGTCCCCAATATAGTACGGCACCCTTACAGAAAGGAACCTAAAGGGGACCCTAGTTTAGAGCTTAGTTGCTGAGTTCATAAGCCCCCAAAAGTGTACACTTTCAGTTCTATAAGGGATTATTATTATTATTAATAATAATAATAATAATTCTATAAGGGATCATATAATCCCCAAAAAGTGTAAAGTGTACTCACTCAGCTACTAAGAGAGAACTGCCCATGTCTTCAAGGATCTGAGTTGAGAAGTGGGCTTTGGAGTCCTTGGGCAGCTGCGGGCCTGGAACGGGGGCCCGTTTTTAAGGGTTTAAAGGCTTATAAGACTTAGGGCTTTTAAGTTTTAAGGTTTAGGGTTTCGGGCTTCTAAGATTTAGGGTTTTAGGTCTGTTTTGCTTGTAGTGGTTCGGGGCTATTGGCTGAAAGTGCCGAGCTAAAGTAGGATCCCCATCCCTCCGCCCGCCAATTTAAACCTGAAAGCCAAAGCCCCATACCTGAGCTCTGAAGCAAGGGCTCTAATCCACACAATTCTAAACGCCAAGTCCCAACAATCCTACATGTTCAACCCGAAGCTCGAAAGTTGCGTCTTGCAACCCTAAACCGAAGACTCTAGAACCCTAAACTGAAAACCGCACAACCCAAAAACCTTAAACCCTGAAGCCTTAAACTCCCTGGTTGCAACGAGGCCCTTGCAGAACCCTTACAGCAAAACCTCAAAGGGCTCCGATCCTGGGAACCCTACACTAAACACAAAACTTACACTAAGTTTCCCTAAAACCCTAAACTCTCAAAACCCAAAACACTAAACCTACCCTAAGTTTCCCTAAAACCCTGAACCCTGAAGAAGAATCCGTAAGCGCGTGAGCTTCTGACTGGATCTCCGTGGGGTGGAGGGCAGAGGCAAGTCCGTGGGGCTGCTCGGACCTGCGTAGGCTCTACAAGGGATGAAACAAGGGCCCTTTGGTTTGGGTTTAGGGTTTAGGGTTTAGGGTTAAGGGTGATCTAAGTCCTGCATTACCCGTAATAAGGAATATACCATAATCCCCATAGTTTAGGGGTCTTTAAAGTACTGCAGGATTGATATCATCGACAGTAATTAAAGGGTTCTGTCAGGATCACAAAAGGTTACAAGAAGGGTTTCTACAAGGGCTGATCTAAGGGGTACTCACGGGGTTGCTATCAGGGTTTCTATCAAGATTTCAACTCGAAGTACCCAAATGGGAGGGTTTCTGGACCCAAATACTTAGAATATCTGTAACCGCGCTGGTCGCGAATCCCACGAGACTTGTTCCAAATTGTCGTGCTCATTCTGCTGCAGGAAGGATGCCTGACCTTTGACGACGTGTAAACTTCTGAGACCCCTAACCACCGGCCACAGCCTAGGGGTAAGAGATCCCCAAGCAGACGCCATAGGAAACCAACACAAAAAAGCCAACTGAAGAGTGCAATACCAAAAGGCACGAGTAACAGCTGCCCGGCGCCACACCAACAGTGCCTGCCGGGCTAAGCAAACGCCAAAATCATGAAGACTGAAGGCTGAGTCTCACAGCCCTGCCGGAGTCTTGCACCCCTAAACCCTAAACCGAGTGTAGGCTGCCAGGCTGTAGGGATATAACTAAGGGCAATAAAGTAGGAATCCTCCATCCTGAACTCAAGTCTGAAGCCTGACAATCAACATCTTAGCTCCTCATTGCCCAGCCTTTGTCCATAGCCGGAATGACGACCTCCTGAACACGTTGGGCAGAATCGGGTTTTGAGACTTCTATGCACAGCCGCAGGGTTTCCGAGTTGAGTTCGACGGCATGTATGGAACCCTACTAGCCGGACCTAGCGTTTCGGGGTCTGGGGTGGCTCCGGGCGAAGATGTGGAAGCACAGCTTCAACCTGAACGGCTGTGTGGCATCAGCCTCGCTGCGTGCTCGGTTGCACATCGATTTTCGCAACACCGCACACCATCCGAGAAACTGCACCCCACCCAATGGGGGAAAGGCCAAACGCTGAACCGAATGGCAAGAACAAAAACAACTTAAATATCCTGAACTTTGGTTCCTCACGCCCAAACCCCAAGGTACTAGAACCTGGCAGAACCCCCAACACCTGCCTTTTCTCAGGACAAATAACCTTGTAGCAAGAAATCCCTTTTAGAATGCTCGGGTAAGCCGAGCCCCACAAAATCCGGTGGCAAAGCTCCGGAGGCCCGGAGAAAGTTTCCAATTTCCGAGCCACGGTTTCGGGGGCGGCGACTCGTTTTCTTTTGTTGTGGAACAAAGGGACTTAGGTGTTCAGCGTTTTAGAATTTATCTCGAGTGCCGTGTTTGTACGACACATTTTGGAGGCTTGGGGTTTGAAGTAAAGGAGTTGGGTTGGCTGGAGCAACAAAGAAAGCATGTAAGATCACACAAGAACCCTTACATCAGGTCTGACGGAGTAGCGGGACAGCACGCAGACCTGATTACAGATTCAGGGAACAACATCGCCCAAGTCACGAATGTTCCTTTAAGTTACTGAAGCCCACTTCTCCAGCAACAATGCCACAACTCCAAAAAAAGTCAATATCGACCATATAGACCTCCAGATAGTTTACAATTCTCTAAACCCTTAACCCCCAAAACCCTAAAACAAACTTGCCCCCTAAACCTTGGGTCAGTGCTCAAGTTTCTCACGAGAGATCTGCCCTGAGCTCGCATCAGCGACCTAAGGATCCTCAAGAGAGGCCCATGTACCTTGTAGATGTATACTATAGGTATCTATGAGTATATTGCTGTATCTATATCTATATAATATATCTATAAATAAATAAATAATTATAAATAAATATATATATATATATATATATATATGTATATATATATATATACATACACACAGAGTTACACAGTTCTACACCAAAGTCGCAGTATCTCTCTCTCAACAAGGGCCCCGCTTGTCCTACTATTCAGTTTTAATCCAAGGAGACACCGGGAACACAACCGGCATAAGGGCACTACTCACGGATGATCGTCGACATGACCTCGCCTCATCCATGCGCGCAGACACCTCCGGTGTCAGAAGCACCTGGCACCAGACCGGCAGACTCTGTGAGCCCATGACCTTCAACCTCGACCCTCCTTATAGAATTTGGGGCTTTAGGACATATAGGGCCTCCTAAAGCTTCGAGGACTTGATTCAGGGATCCAATCAACCGCTGTTGGCAGGATGCGTGGGTGCAGTGCTTAGTGAAGCCTGGAATCCGGGGGCCGGTAGCTTTGACACTTCTAGTAGTTCAAGTAGTTATATGGCTAGTTATCTAAATTAGGGTCCCTTTTGAGGTCCCCAATGTAGTAAACTACCCATATCGGGGTTTAAGGGTCTTTATACGTTTTAATGGTGCGCATGTCGGGCTTTAGGCTTCGGAGCTACAGGGTTTTGTGTACATTCACTAACCTGAAAAGCGGATCCGGTGGTAGAGTTCGGTGCAGGCCCCAAACTATCCGTGAACTCCTCTAAAGCCCGTACATTCAACCTATACGGAAATCCGAGGGTCCCCCCGCCTTCAGCTTTTGGCCGCGGCCGATGCCGCGTAGGCGGTAGGCGCCCTGCGCAAAGTCACGGAGTGTTGAGTCCTGCAAAGCAGAGTCCAAGATCCCGTAGCTACAGGGCCCCTTTCGGGTTCCTTAAAGGATTCTAGAGTTATATGGCTCGGTCAGGGTTCTATATTGAAGAAAGGATTCTAGAGTTATATGGCTCGGTCAGGCTTCTATATTGAAGGGCCCTGGGGTTTTATGCTAAAGCTCCCCTTTACAGCTGCTTCAACGCTTCTATTGGGCGGCAATGGTTCCATATTTGCGGGCCTTGGGTTCACATGGCTTTATGGGCTTCATAAATGTCTTAATTGGGCTTTACAGGCCTTCGTACAGGGGCCTTGATGTTCGAAAAGCGTTGTGGGGCCCGGGGTATACCGCAGTACTAAGGGCTACAAGGGGACATGATTGCGAGACCCAATGATGCCTTCATTAAGGCTTTGTAAGGACGCTTATACTTGATAAGGGATACAAGATCCCTCAGCCTCCTTTGGCAGAAGAAGTAACTACAGAGATCCCGAAAATCAAACACACATCATAGGGTGGCTGAGCTTGAGAAATCTTGGGCACAGCCGTAAAAATTCCGAACCCTCATCCCTGATGCCTGCACCGAAAGCCCCAAATCCCAACAAACCTGAACTCTAAAACCACAAACCCAGGCCCTCAACCCGAAGCCGCGGTCCTTTCCCAAGGTGAGAGCTGCGCAGGCCATCGGCGGATGCCGGATGTCGATGCCTGTGGTGTGCACCTGGTCGTAGAAGACCTCGGCGAGGGTTCCATGAAAGGTTCGAAACGGGTTCTAGGTTTACCAAGGGCCTCGGGATTTTGGATCTGGAGTTCAGCGTTGCGGAGTTTTGGGGCTTTGGTTTTTGTCTGAACACGAGCGTCGGAAAACACTGAACTCCACACCCCGAAGACAAGCCCCACGAAACCTCCGGCTCTACACCTGCAACAATATTGAAGCTTCGGCTTTCAGAACACTACTCCACATACTGCAATACCACAGCAAAACCGACAGTCGAAAGGTCGAACGGCGACGGGTTGGACCACATTCAGGTCTCAGGACTTAAGGAGGGATCGGGTGAGGCTTCAAGATCTGGAGGTTGAGGGTCCAGGACTTGAGCTTAGCCGGGGTCTGCCCATTCAAAAGCCCAGTCTACCCTAACAAGAACATGCTTAAACCCTCAAATCTCCAACCCCAGGGCTCCAAACCAAACTTCTTCCGAGTGTGGGTGGCAAACATCGTTCCGAAGCATGTATCCTATGCTGAGCTCTAAGGTCCAAGCCCTGATTTTTAGATCCCCCAAAACCAACCCGAAACTGCAAACCCAAAGCCCTGATTTCTAAACTCGAAGACCTTGACGGACAGCCCTGAACTGTTGTCTCTGGTCCCAGTGTAGGATCGAAAATCTGAAGTCTAATATAGAAGCCTAAGAAACCACCAAAGTTATTCCTGTAGGTTTCTTGTTGTACTTATCTACAAATTAGCCCAAAGCCCGAGTCTACTTACTAAGGCCCCTACATTACTTAGCCTCAATGCCCTGACCCTTACCAAGGCAAAGGCGAATCGGCGGCTCAGGGGCAGTGAGCAATTCGACATCTTGACCTGGATCCGTGCTTCGAGCTTACGGCTTTAGGATCTCGGATCTGGGCCTGACCTGCCGCAACTTGCATTGGGATTTATAACGCAACCTTACAACGATAGGCCATGGCAGCTTAAAGTAATGGTTAGAATCACGGTTTGAGCTGGAAAACTTATGCTTCTAGTCAGGCCCGATCTGGCGCACCACCAGGGGCCTGAGAGTGCATGATTCTTCGTTGGGAAAGTTTGGGTTTAGGGTTTAAGGGTTTAATAGGGTTTAGGGTTTAGTAGGGTTTAGGGTTTAAGGGTTTAGGGTTTAGGGATTAAGGGTTCAATAGGGTTTAGGGTTTAAGGGTTTCGGGTTTCAGGGTTTAGGGTTTACTTGGAGGCATTGTAGGGTGAGCTTGGGGCCTTCTGACCCCAAAAGTAGAGATTTGGGCTTTAGTAACTCCTGTGGGTGTACATTAACCTAACGCTGTAAATCCGAATCAAACCCCGTAGCGACTCTTGAGATCATAAACCCCTACAAGCCCTAAACCCCGAGCGACTCACCCACAAAGGAACCAAGGCTTGAACCTAAACCCCAAACCCAAAACCCAAACCCCTGAACCCCTACTTCTATACTGAACTTAGACCCCTAGCAAAAATTAGAATTTTAGCTGCTTCTTAGGGTTTATAGTAACCAAAGATTAAGAATTATTTCTAAGTACCCCTAAGACCTCGTAAGGCACACCCAAAACGAATCAAGGCCCTGGCTGCTACGCTCCGTCCCCGGCGCAGAAGCCAGGGCTCACCCCCCGGGTCGAGAAAGACCACCGCCTCAGCTCACTCGGTTTGGGGTTCGGGGGCCCTAAACCCTAAGCCCTAAACACCAAACTCAACCCTAAACCCTAAACCCAAAGCCCTAAACCTTAAACACAACCCGAAACCCTAAACCCTAAAACCAAAGCCCTAAACCTTAAACACAACCCGAAACCCTAAACCCTAAAACCAAAGCCCGAAACCCGAAAAACAAAAAAGTAAGGTTTGGCGTTGAGTTTCAGAGTTGAGGGTTTCGGATTCGGGTTCGGGGCTTAGGTGTGTGGGGCTTCGGGTTGTTATGGGTGGGGTAAGGCTTCAGGACTTAATGCATATGGCTTATAAGGTTCAAAATACACAAAAGGCTTAGAGATGAGGGTTTTGCATTGTGTTTACATGTCAAAAACAGTTGATAATTCGAAGGCTCTTTGGGTTCATGTCTGAAGTCTTGAGCTCAAAGGCAATTCTCTGCATGGCTGTGTGCTTTCTTGTTGGGCCTTTGTGTGAGCAGGTTCTTGCTGATATCATCGCGAGCGTGCCTGGCGCCTTTATATACCCCCAAAAGGGTAGGCCTTTCAGGGACCAGTTGCACCCTTAACCCTAAACCCTTCGAACCCTTAAAACCCTGAACCCGAAACCTCTGTTTAATTTCAAAAAACCTAAACCCTAGACCTCTGTTAAAAAAACAACCCTGAACCCTAAACCTCTTTTCAACAAAAACCC